GTGAGCCAATAAAGAAAGTGATCCATGAACACTGGCTCAGGTACCAACGCCCTAACAGACATGGACATAGTAGAACACGTACCACTCTACAACCAACTCCGATGGTCATAGATAACCGGGTTTCTGTGTTGCCTATTAAGGAAAGTGTTATTCTGCTTCACAATGATCAGACAGTGAAATCTAGTAAACGAAGTAAACGTGACTTTAAACGCCAGCGTGTTGGGAATGTCACTGATTTAACTGAGACTGTTGAAATTGATTATGTTACAATGTGTATTAGATACGGTTACACCAAGCACTGGCCATAGAACATGCAAAATATATTTGAGATAAGTGTGTTAGTGGTGAAATACCGACTGAAAAAATGAATTGAAACGAGACATATGAAGCGTGTAGGTGGAGATGCTGTGATAGTAGATACGGAAAATATGCGAAATAAACTGAACAGGAGATGCGATGATTATCAGTGGCAGTACGATGGGTGTAAAAAAAGTTCCTAGAAAACAGCCAAGAAAACAGTCAACGGTCTGTCAAACGCGTTTTAGAATAAGGGTAAAAAACAATGAGGATGAAAAGGCAGTACCTTCAAATGAATTCTCAAGAACTGAACATAAATTATGAGAAAATGATCGGTATTATATATTACATTATCTTGGAAATGAACAGTGTTATGTGCCTACTAAAAAAGGATGAAACAAACAAACGAACTTCGGTCTGAACATGCCCTTCAGTTTTCGATAAAATTCGGGAAGAAGCCCGAAATAATAAACAGACGGCAAAAATATATAAAGGATTAGCTGTATCAGTAGATGTCGAACAGGCGCTATCTGAAGCACCAAAGAACAAAGAGCAGGTTAAAAAGGTGACAAAATATATGAAAGATAGGAAACGCTTATCACAAGATGACATCTACAGTGCATTGTTACTATCTTACCAGTTAGATAGGTTTGTACACCAAATGGATCTGTATCCAAGTCTAACAATAGTGTTGGGCATGAAGCAATCCCTAGACAATTTGAATAGCTTATTAAACATTGAACAATACTCTAAAACTATGTTTTCCATAGATACGACTTTTGAATGCGGGAACTTCTATATCATCCCTTTATTGTACAAGAACTTCATATTTAAGAAAGAGCCCACTTCCCCAGTTGTATTTATGCTTCACGAGAAAAAGGACCAAAAATTTCACGAACATTTCATTTCTATCATAACAGAAAAATACCCAAATAAAAAAAAGACAGACATTCTATTCGTTGCAGATAATGAGCCAGGTATAACTAACGCCATAGAGGCAAAATTAGATAACGCCAAAGTGTACCATTGCTGGAATCATATAAAGAGGGACGTAAGAGAATTGCTTTGCCAAAGAAAAATGTGGAGCTTTATATGAAACATTTAGATACCTTATTGAGGTGTACTTTTGAAAACCAATTCCAACTACAGCTAGATACTTTGAGTGGTCCTTGCATGGTGTGTGTCCTCTAAACAATATTTCTAGTGTCACATTAAAGATGATATAATGAAATATTCAGGCCGTTGGCTCCTAGAGCAGGCAGGGATTTACAATGAAACATCCAGTTTTACTTATTATATATCTGAGGGTTTAAATACAATAGTAAAATATATAAACAATCACAGTAATTGTCCATCGCAAACATGATTTTACGTTTGTTCTAAATACAAAATTCGATTTATGTAGAAATTTTGCGTGGAAGGGCAGGGCTAGGAGATCAAGAACTTAAGTCCGATTTCATTTTAAGGATTTATTATAGAATTCCCTCATAATATTATGAAAGAAGATGAAATATATAATGTTGTGCAGACTGCAACTTCTAAATTGGACATAAAAAGCGAAAAAGAACACAGTGACAACAAAGAGGCAAATGTAATACAAATAAACACACAAGATGATTTAGCAAGTAAAGTTATTTCAGCAGATTGGTTGAGATTAGTCCCGGAAAAGAACGCGTAAATGGTTTCCGGATTAATGGATAAGAAATATACTGTGACACTATTCACCAAAGAGTGTCAGTGCCCGGCAACAGGTTCATGTTACCATATAATTGCTGCAAAGCGTAGCATCGATATAAAAAACATTGAGGAAAAATGAAGAAAGAAGATTGATAAGTCGTATGCGTTATAAAACCCGCCTTTAGACTGAACGGAGACTCGGACAGAAAAAAGAACCATCAGACTTTGAAAACAGTGCCTGCAACCGACTCGAAGTTAGCTAAGGCTGAAAACAATGAAGATGTAATGAAATACAGTTCACCAAATTCGTAAAATATATAATTAGAAACTTCGTTGAGTGAATCACCAAAAAAAAGATGACCAGCATGTTGTCACACCGCCTAAAATACTAAAATTACCAAATATATCTTCACCTTCTGTAACTGACATTTTACTGGAAACGCCTACCTCAATATTTCGCGATGAATACTATGTCAGCGTACCGTGGTTAAATGGACTGGATTTATGTATGCAAGACAAAGAAATAATTGAATCTAATAAACGGCTCACTGATGAACATAAAAACGCAGTTAATACGATACTTTCAAACAATACAAAAACATTCAAGGAGTTTCAAGACACCAAAATGACTCCGTACTATATAGATAACGACAAAACACGGAATACAGATAAAAACTCCGCCATGTACTCAGATTCACATGACGGCAATTGTCATTGGACATGCAGTTTCTCGCATGAGTCGTGTTGTTTGTATTGTTTAGATAGTATGTCAGAGAAATTTAAACATCTAAAATTCAATGTACAAATACTATTGTGTCAAATATATTATATTATGTAAAAAACTTAAATATTAAATTACCAAGAATACAACAACAACCAAATTCTTACGATTGTGACCTTTTGTTATTGTAAACATTGTTGAATTTTGTAATTATCCTTATAGATTTAATTTTCGTGTAAAATATTGTTAAATACACAATAAGAGAGATTATAGAACATTTAACTTTATGTTTAGAGAATGGCAAAATGTACCCATTTCCAAAAGAGGGGCAAAAAATCGTAAGACAGCTTTTACGGCCATTCCTAGGGTTGTAAAGGTACATGTAGAAAAACGCAGATGAGTTTGTGGAAAGTCAGATTTTATAGACGGCATGATAGGATGCGAAGATCGCAAATGCAATAGATGGTACAATTTAAGATGTTTTGGAATTACTAGAAAAAGATCTATAACTGGTTAGAAATGGAAATGTTTAAACTGTAAAAACATTCATAAATGTATGTCAATTTATGTTGCTTTATTATTGACATAAGTTGTTTCAATTTTTAGTTGTTTATTTTATAATTTCTTTTCCATATCATTTTTCTACAAAAAATACTATGTTCTGTTTCAAGCAGCACGCCTCCAGATTTATGCTAATTTTCATAAAAACTTGAACTGTATTGATAATTATGTAAAATATTGTGCAACATTTCACTTAAACTACCAAAAAGAGGTCAAATATGCAAAAATAGCCCTAATAATAACAATAAAAGAGGTTGTTCTGCTGTAAAATATATGTATAGTAATAAGACAAAATCAGGTATTAATCGCATATATCATGTAAATTATTACTTAAATCTTGAATCTTATTGCTTTTATTAAAATCTTTTTCTCAACTTTTCTTGGTTTATACCAATATTTTGGTTTATCTGGTTTATACTGAAACATGTGTTTACTTATATGTCTGTATATGTGTTTGTTCAAAATGAACTACTTCTACTATTTAAATACATGTATATTATAATAGAATGAATTGACTGCCAACTTGTATTGAACTTTTTTTATACTCATTATTATATATATCACAACAACTCATAAAGGTGTTATTGAATGTTTAGAGATTGAAGTTAGTTTGTACCGAGTGTTGCCACCATTTTCATGAATGCATGCAATGATCCTACGTTGCATCGAAGTAACGAACGCAATATCAGTGCGTTGGGCAAAATTCCTCCATTCCTATTGTAACGCCCGTGTAAGATCGCGAACATTGTCAATCTGATGGTTAGCTCGTGCTTTGCGGCCCAGCTGATCCCTTATGTGCTCAATGGGGTTGAGATTCGGAGAAACCGCGGGCCATGGCATGACGTTGACATTGTTTTGTTGCAAGAGTCGAGTGGTGACCCTGGCTACACGAGGGTGGGCATTGTCCTGCATCAATGTTACACCAAGGCCATGCTGACAAATAAATGGTAAGGCATATGCATTTAGCACGTCTGCAACATAACGCTGTGCATTAATGTTGCCCTGTACAACAATCAAATCTGTCTTCCGGTTTCCCATGATCCCACCCAAGACCATTACGCTCTCCCACCCAAACCTGTTCTTCTCAACAATGCAACAATCGGCGAATCTGTCATTTTCAAGCCTGTATACCCGTATCCTTCCGTCAGCATGACTAACTGTGAACCGAGATTCATCGGTGATCAAAACTCGGTTCCAGTCAGCCCTTCTCCAGTTCAGATGACGTCGCGCCCATAACAGTCTGGCAGCACGGTGACGTTGTGTCATTATCTAACCAGTGTGCGAGCGGCATGCCCTGATTTGTTGGGCGTTACGACGCAACCGGCTGCGAATGTTCTGCCCTGAGACACCGTATTGCCTAGCAGTGAGTGTGGCTGCCAACTGACGTTGACGCAATGAAACGATCGGCTCTAGCGGTCGTTACACGAGGTCAACTAGGTCCCTGCCGGTCGTGAACAGCCCCAGTCTGCTGGTACCGGGCTGCAAGACGATCAATCGTCTTCCGACAGCACCCAAACCGACGCGCGACTACCCTGGCCGACATCCCACCCACAAGCATCCAAATTGCCTGATTTCGTTCGTTTCCGGAAAGCCGTGGCACATCGAAAACAGTGAAAAATTAGTTAAAAAAATAATTTTCAGAATAGCCCCTATCGCATAAATGATACGACATGAACTGAATCAACATATGGAAGACATGTATAGCGTGCACGTGCAAAACGTGCAAATGACCGTTCCGGTGACTGGCCGATATGTAAACCGTGCGTATCGGGTAAACTGTACACGATCGTATTCTGAACATAGCCAGGGTTTAAAATACATGTACATTGAACATGTAGCAACTACACAGACGGAGCTTCGCCGGCTATAAAACATGGACGTTAGTATACATTATTTCATGATATTCATATAATAATATCTTATCTAATAGAGGGTTGTTTAATAAATTTAATTTTATACACTTCAATGTATTTATATAGCAAAATATTGATCAGTGTTTATTCTTGATATTGTTTTGACAATATCTTGTAACAATATCCTCTTTTTGTTATTTGTATTTTTCATGAATTGTGCGATTGCAAAGAGAAGTGGCTATATAGCCAGTATTTTCGGCCATATTATTGCCTTGTCTACACATACCAAGGTAGCGTATACCTATTATCACCTGACTTTGTGATTTCTCTCTATTTTCCCTTTGGTGTTGTTTATAACTAATATTTTCTTTTTTGGTACTCAATTTGATATTTTGGCCTAAAAAAACTTATCTAAAATATGTTTTACACTAAAACTGTTGAACACCAAAATGCCTATGTTTTTCTTATCTGAATTTTCAAATTAGTAAATAACTAGCACGTTAATTGTGATCACTGAGTTAGATATGCACTGAGTGTCCGATTCCGAAGTTGTCTACGGAATTGATGACATCGTTATATTTTTTATTCGTCAATGAAGATGTAAAACTGAAAGTAACACTCTTTTTAATGGTATTGTTTTATGTTATTTATGATTAAATAAAGCTCAATAATGCGACATATTGGTCGTAAAACAACCTCTAACATGTTGAATGGTCACGCACCTCTTTAAAAGCAATTTAATGCAACCAGCTCTTTAAATAACCGATATTTATAGCTGAAGTGTACCAGTATCCGGATAGTTCAATTTCAGGATAGGTCATTTTCAAATTTCTTAGTCTTTCTTTAAAAACGTTACTTATGACAAGATATTGTCGAGCTCAAGCAAATTCTGTTTTGTAGTTTACAATATGCAATGACTAATGTTGTAATTATAGCATGTTATGTTAGCTGTCTTTTACATAATAACTCCATGTTGTTTTTTCTCTATCATTTAGCTGACCTGTGTACTGTAGGAACAGGATCATGAAGGTTTCGTGGTCACCACTTGATAAGAACAAGTTTCTTACATACACTAACAGTGTCATAAATCTGTATGAGACAAAATATATACAAGATAGACCAATACCAAAAGGTAATATTTATCATGTTGAAACAATATTTTTTTGTAGGAAGTACATGTAGCTGGATAGCTAGCCATACAGGCCCGTACTTGTAGCCAAAAGTTCTAGCTGTATGTGAGTCACATATCACTAGCATATACACACTGTAGAGTCTAGTCCTAATGTTTTTTTTAAAGTAAATGACAAAAAAACAAAAACATTCATGTATGCAAACTTGTGTTTCTAGAAGAAGACTACAAAATGGAACTTTTTAGTTGTTGATACAATTAAAGCCATGAACTTCCTTTATTGTTTACTATTTAAATCTTACCACACTCAATGTCCTAAAAAGACTTGTTCATCTTCTAATCTGGACAAAAATATTCAGATTGATAATTTTCATTGCAGATTTTTAATGACTGTATGCCATAATTTCAAGACTGATTTATGGGACACTGTAAAAAATATTTCTAAAATTAACATAGCAGCATATAACATATTTTTACTATGCTTTATCACTGCAGTAGTGTAAGGTATCTAGCATACCTGTTTTTATACTGTGACAATGCCACATCAGATGAAAGAAAAAATCTTATAAAGTTTTGGAAGCTAGAACCATCACTACATAAGTTTCACAGTTGGGGGCACTCAGTGGTCAGTCACCGTGATTTTATCTGAAAAGTCACTGTGATTTATATCACTGACAAACGTCCTGATCAATGTACATGTAATGGTGTTTAGGCCAAAAATTAAATGTCCCTTTCTATTTTTTGATAAATTAAAACACTTAAGTGTCTCGAGACTCTGATGATAAAAATAATGCACAAAATCGCGACACAACCAAAATGTTTGAAGAAGTAAAATTATTTCCATACAAATAATTTTGTAAATATATGTATAAACAAAATTGCTGCTAATTATATATATTCAGAATTTGTTGACAAAATTTAATTTCACACCTTTCTTATAAACTGATCCTGGAGACAGGTGATTGACAGGTGGTAGAGATCGATTGATGCGCTAGAAGTGTCAATCATCATTAAAGGGCGGTCTTATCAACACTTAAAAGGACTTTTTAACATGCTTACATGACATTCATTTTTCTCCATGATGCATATAATAGTCTCATTGGCCTCCCATGCATCAAAATTGTATCATCACAAAACTCAACTTGCATACATATTTAGTATCATTCAGTGAATTACTGAATTCAAAATTTATAGGTCACCTGTTGGATGATAGTTTAAGGACATGAATGGTGACATGTCCGGGGTCCGTACTCTCAGTGCCTGAAAGGGCGGATGGACCCTCATTAAGCTAAGCATACATACATGCATACTTTATGCAACAGTTCTTGTGTATTTCTAAACTGTCTGGGGAAATCTATCTGATATCAACGTCTTAGAATAATTAACATAGAAATATAATTGCATAAAATTGGAATCATTCTTGCTGCAAATAAGTTCCAAATTTCTATTTTTGCTTTGTGTGAAAAAATTTTCTTTGGCACTGTCGTTTGATTTTTGTGAACTTACAGATGTCCAGAATATTATGGCATGTATGACTAAATTAGTAAATACTGTCTTGAGTCTTAAAATTTCATGTTAGGTTAATTTTGTACTTAGCAATACATATACATATATAATGTGTAATGTATATTATTCATTCTATTTCGTCTAGAATTATTTTCGGTATTAAATGAGATTGTGATCCGCGGATGCACATCAGTGTGCTTCCGCCCTGTCGAATGACAGGCATTGACATTTTATTAGCGATTAAAAAATCAGGTCTAATCATAGGTTAGAAACATAATCATTCAAGGAATAAAAAAATTTTGTGTTCGGCAAACGTTGTTCGCCACTCTGAAAGAGATTTGTAGTTTTATTTTACGCTTAAAGGGTTGATATTGACATAAAATTGTGTTGTGTTCGTAGTACGCCGTGATCCATTTTAATTTCAAATTATATGTTTATATTTTCAGGGAGTTATCACATTTCCGATGACCTGTATGCCACTAGTCTTACCACACTTTCTGATGTCCATTTAACAAAGGTATGCTAATAATATTTCTTGTATCTATTGAACAAATGTTTTTATAAATCTTCTCTTAAAAATCAGCAAAAAATAAATGTATAAGAATAACATTGTATTATTAAAACTCATTTAAAAAAAAAAAATTAAGTGGAATTTGACCAATTTTACCCTTATCTGTAGAATTTATGAAATGGGTTTGCCCACTTTTGAATTTGAAACATTAGAGTCATAATAATAGTACAATATTAATGGTATTCAACTGCAAATTCTTAAAATTCCCTTTAATATACACTGTACTAATGTTCTGGCTGAACGTTTCAGTCAAAAGTTCAAGGGATTTCATTACCAAAATACAATTATTTTCCAACATTTTAGAGCCAAACTGCATATTGACTGGCCTGGCAGTATATATCTTTCCAATCCAGCAGGTTAAGTTTTGTAATATCAATGAAAGTATCGGTAACAATATATGAGCCACGTCATGACAAAACCAACATAATGGCCTTGCGACCAGCATGGATCCAGACCAGCCTGCGCATCCGCGCAGTCTGATCAGGATCCATGCTGTTCGCTATCAGTTTCTCTACTTGTAATAGGGTTGGTAAGCGGATGCGCAGGCTGGTCTGGATCCATGCTGGTCGCAAACCCACTATGTTGGTTTTGTTGTGACGCGGCTCATATATTGTTACAGGGTTCCCACGCTGTCCGGGAAAACGGGAAATGTCCGTGAATTTGAAAACAGGAGCTCCCGGCCTTGAAAAGTCCGGGAATTAGTGTTGATACATAAAAAAGTCCGGGAAGGTACGGGAATTAGTCTGGAAAAGGGGAGGTAAATCAAACAACCAAAATGGCGGTCTTAGCACAGTATATTGACTTCCGCATCTTGAATGTTGATTATTTTTCGATTTACATGTGTTTTGGGAGGCCAAGTTTGACATTTATGAGATTTAACATTTATTTTCTGGTTACTATGGCGGTTTTGTTTGGAAAATGTTATAAGAATTTAGACAGTCACAAATCGACCACAAGTTTGCTTGATTGGCCCGTGCTAAGAAACATGAAAGTTCACAGGTCTGGTTGCTTCCTTGGGCAATTTGTTTAACCTTATTGCTCACAACCATGCTAAAAGCCAAAGGTAAATCAATATAAAATAAACAAAAGTATTACATACATGAACTATTGTCAAGGCAGAGCACAGCCAGTTGGCCACACCATATTTGGGTAGCAAGAAATACCCAAATATTAGCCAAAATATACTAAAAATGAATGTGTTATACTAAAAAAAGTGCTGTTTTAATCATGAATACAATATGCACTTTCATTAAGATGTAATCAAACATACCCAAATATACATTTTTGAACCAAAATATACCCAAATACAGTATACTCCATGAAAACTATTAAATAAAAAAAATAATACGAATGAACTTACATATGAAATTTCAACAAAATTACACCCTACAAATTTAAATGTAGACAACAAATCTCATATCTTGCAAGTACATTTGTCTATTCATTAATGAACCTAACAGTCAGAAAAGCAAATGTTACTTTTTTTCTTACAACATCTGAACTGAAAATTTCAATGGAATGAATGAAAGTAATAGTTGGCTAAGTCACATTATTTTGTAAATATCAATTCATTTTCTCATTAAAATCTATATTGTATACAAACCAAAATGAATATTGCTATAATTGTGTGTGTTTGGGTATTTTGTGCTGCCGCCATATTTTGTAGAACCCGTAGCACAGGCTTAAGCAGAGTACAACATTTAAACATGAAAGTTGTGAAATTTTTAATGTAGAAACACCTGCAGGCAGTTTTCATATACCCTTCAGTAAGACATGCTTTTGCCATTCAATGCACCTAAGTGGACTGAGGTCAAATGTGAGGTTACTTATTAAAGTACTATGAATATCTTGTAAAAAAAGTGATCCCTTGGAAGCATTAAAAACATCAAAATTACATGAAAATTGCAGACACCCTGCAACAGTTGCTGTCACAAAGTACATTTCATTATTTATAGACACTGAATGTATTTCTTAGAGTTAGATTTATGTCATGAACTACATGTATTATATTGGTGTTATTAAATGTTGTTTTAAACATTACCATGAAAATATTCATAGGACAAAAAATTGAATAGCGTGAAATTTAATCTTCTAAAAAGTCCTTAAAAAATCAAAAAAGGTCCTTGATAAGTCCTGGAAAAGTCCTTAAATTTTCAAAATATCTAAGAGTGGGAACCCTGATTGTTAAGAGATTACATGTTTGCTTAATATTATAAAACCATCTGTCACTCTATAGGAACAATGTCTGATTAATATTTCAGTGTGTGGAATGGTATCCAGGGGTAACCACTGACAACCTGATAGCTATCGGTCAAGCTAATGGAAAAGTCCTTATCTCAAAGTGAGTTTAAATTTTTTGTAAAAAATAGCTTAGTTCTCTCGAACAGAAAAATTTCACAAATTCCTATCTAAAAATTCAGAAGTTTTGATAATAATTCATAACATAAATCAATGTGAAAATCCCATTGGTCGCTCAGCATAGGAAAATCCAAAATTGTGCAGGCCTGGGTTGTTAAAGCTTGTCTGTGGAAGGCAGTGCATATAAAAGCTTCCTATACATCAGCCCAAGCAGAACTCATCAGTTCAAACATGGAAATGCTGAAAAAGTTCATTTTGTAATAAAGGGAGTGAACTTAATCCTCTTTCAATAGTAAGGGCAGTACATGTAGAATGAAGTATTTCCTCTGCGATAATAAGGCTAGGGAACTTTTCAAATAGACCAAAAAAAAACGAGTTGAAACAGAAAAAAAATTAAGCTTTAATGTTCAAATTTTAGTTTGTTCTTTATTTTTGATTTCAGCTTTGGCAGAAAAGGAACACATGAGCTGATAGCAAAGGAGTTCAGTAAGTGTAGCATAACTGCTTAATTTATTTGTAGTATTTATACCCCCAAAAACGAAGTTTGGGGGGGTATATAGGAGTCACCTGGTGGTCGGTTGGTCGGTCCAGACGTCCGTTGCATTTTCCTTGTCCGGAGCATAACTTGTAGACTAATGGTTGGAATTCAATATAACTACATACAATGGTCAAGCACATTGAGAGGAAGTGCAGTGCACAAGAACCATAACTCTATCTTGACTAATTACAGAGTTATTGCCCTTTGTTACTTTTCCTTGTTCAGGGCATAACTTGAAAACTACCGGTTGGAATTAAAAACAACTTCATACAATTGTCAAACTCAATAAGGGGAAGTGCAGTGCACAAGAACCATAACTCTATCTAAAGTAATTACAGAGTAAATGTCCTTTGTTACTTTTCCATTGCTTTCTTTTGTCCGGACCATAACTTTAAGACTAATGGTTGGAATTCACTATAACTTCATACAATGGTCAAGCACATTGAGAGGAAGTGCAGTGCACAAAAACCATACAGTATATCTTGACTAATTACAGAGTAATTGCCCTTTGTAACTTTTCCTTGTCCGGGGCATAACTTGAAAACTACTGGTTGGAATTCAAAACAACTTCATACAATTGTCAAACACAATAAGGGGAAGTGCAGTGCACAAGAACCATAACTCTATCTAAAGTAATTACAGAGGTATTGCCCTTTGTTACTTTTCCATTGTATTCTGTTGTCCGGACCATAACTTGAAGACTAATTGTTGGAATTCATTATAACTTCATGCAATGGTCAAGCACATTGAGAGGAAGTGCAGTGCTCAAGAACAATAACTCCATCTTGACTTATTACAGAGTTACTGCCCTTTGTTACTTTTCCTTGTCCAGAGCATGACATGAAAACTACTGGTTGGAATTCAAAACAACTTCATACAATAGTCAAGCACAATAAGGGGAAGTGCAGTGCACAAGAACCATAACTCCATCTTGACTAATTACAGAGTTATTGCCCTTTGTTACTTTTCCATTGCTTTTTTGTTCGGAGCATAACTTGAAGACTAATGGTTGGAATTCTATATAACTTCATGCAATGGTCAAGCACATTGAGAGGAAGTGCAGTGCACAAGAACCATAACTCCATCTTGACTAATTACAGAGTTATTGCCATTTGTTACTTTTCCTTGTCCAGAGCATAACTTGAAAACTACTGTTTTGAATTCAATACAACTTCATACAGTTGTCAAGGACATTAAAAGGAAGTGCAGTGCACAAGAGCCATAACTCCATTTTGACAAAATACAGAGTTACTGCTCTTTGATACTTTTCCTTGTCCGGAACATAACTTAAAAGGTATTGGTTGGAATTCAAAACAACCTCATACAATTGTCAAACACAATAAGGGGAAGTGCAGTGCACAAGAACCATAACTCTATCTAAAGTAATTACAGAGTTATTGCCCTTTGTTACTTTTCCATTGTATTCTTTTGTCAAGACCATAGCTTGAAGACTAATTGTTGGAATTCATTATAACTTCATACAATTGTCAAGCACATTGAGAGGAAGTGTAGTGCTCAAGAACCATAACTCCATCTTGACTTATTACAGAATTACTGCCCTTTGTTACTTTTCCTTGTCCAGAGCATGACATGAAAACTACTGGTTGGAATTCAAAACAACTTCATACAATAGTCAAGCACAATAAGGGGAAGTGCAGTGCACAAGAACCATAACTCCAACTTGACTAATTACAGAGTTATTGCCCTTTGTTACTTTTCCATTGCTTTTTTGTTCGGAGCATAACTTGAAGACTAATGGTTGGAATTCAATATAACTTCATACAATGGTCAAGCACATTGAGAGGAAGTGCAGTGCACAAGAACCATAACTCCATCTTGACTAATTACAGAGTTATTGCCATTTGTTACTTTTCCTTGTCCAGAGCATAACTTGAAAACTACTGTTTTGAATTCAATACAACTTCATACAGTTGTCAAGGACATTATAAGGAAGTACAGTGCACAAGAGCCATAACTCCATTTTGACAAAATACAGAGTTACTGCTCTTTGATACTTATCCTTGTCCGGAGCATAACTTAAAAGGTATTGGTTGGAATTCAAAACAACTTCATACAATGGTCAAGTACAATAAGAGGAAGTGCAGTGCACAAGAACTATAACCCCATCTTCAGTATTTATAGAGTTATTGCCCTTTGTTCCTTTTCCTTGTCTGTCTGGACTTATTATAGAGTAATTCAATAAAACTTCATCAATGGCCAACCGCATTGAAAGGAAATGCAACATACAAGAACCACAACTATCTTTAATTGCCCACAACCATAACTCTATATTTCAATTCTTTTACAAGGTATTCTGTTACTAGTAACATCCTCATTTCAGAAGCAGTCTTGTGGGGGTATTATTCACATTTAGTGATAGTTCTAGTTTCAGTTAGATTTTACCTTACTTTGCTGGAAGCGGAACTGAAAGGGTCAGCCTTTGCCACCAGTATAGATCCAGGCATGCCTGAATATCTTTGCAGTTTGACCAGACTATATACTGGTGGAAGTAATTCAAGGGTTGATCAGTAAATTGTTCTAAGTATTTTATAATAAAAGTTACTGCAGTTTTGCAGTCAACCCTCAAATTATTGACAGTTCCAAAAAATGTAAGCTGGACAAGTCCATTTCTGAAATTCCGCAGGGAAATAAGGTTTGAAATGATAAATGTTATTTTGATTGATCAAAACAAAGTGTTGACTGAATATCTCTAAATGTTTTATGTAAAATGAATGTGTGAAAGTTTTCTTGGGGTAATTTACTCTTACTCATTAGATTTTGCATATTATTATGCTTCCAGAATTTATGCATATTATTATTTTCCCAGAATTTATTTATTTATTATGCTCCCCGAAAAATTTCGGGTCTGATTGTCCGTCCGTCAGTCAGTCCGCACTACTGAATAGGGATAGGGGGCCATCTAACTGTAAACAGAACAAAGGAGAACAATAGAATTAATTCCGTAACAATAGAGTAAGGGGCCATTGGCCCTCTATTAAACAATAGAAAATAACAAAAGAACAGCAAAATCATGTCTGGCCTATAACTTCATTATTTGAAGTCAGATTTTAAAACTGTTTCACAGAAATGATCACCATATTGAGACGAGGTGTGGCGCACAACATTTGGGTTGCTACCTTGAAGGTCAAGGTCACAGCATAACCTTGCAGCAAAATTGTGTCCGGTCCATAACTTCATTATTTGAAGTCGGATTTTAAAACTGTTTCACAGAAATGATCACCATATTGAGACGAGGTGTCGCGCACAACATTTGGGTCACTACCTTGAAGGTCAAGGTCACAGCATGACCTTGAAGCAAAATAGTGTCCGGCCCATAACTTTGATATTTTAAGTCGGATTTTAAAACTATTTCACAGAAATGATCACCATAATGAGAGGACGTGTCACAAGCAACATTTGGGTCGCTTCCTTGAAGGTCAAGGTCACAGCATGACCTTTGCAGCAAAATAGAGTTCGACCCTTAATATCATTATTTGAAGTCAGATTTTACATCTATTTCACAGAAATGATCACCATATTGAGACGACATATCGCGCGCAATATTTTGGTCACCACCTTGAAGGTCAAGGTCACAGCATGACCTTGCAGCAAAATCATGTTTGGTCCATAACTTTGTTATTTGAAGTCGGATTTTACAACTATTTCACAGAAATGATCACCATATTGAGACGAAGTGTCACACGCAACATTTGGGTTGCTACCTTGAAGGTTGAGGTCACAGCATGACCTTGCAGCAAAATCGTATCCAGCCCATAACTTCGTTATTTGAAGTCAGATTTTACAACTGTTTCACAGAAATGATCACCATATTGAGACAATGTGTTGCGCACAACATTTGGTTTGTTTTTACACTTAACTTTAACTTTGTCTGTGACATAACTCTGACACTACAAGAGGTATACCTTCCTGTGTCCAAAACCTATTTGAGGAGCATCACCTGGTTCAACTGGCTCTTGTTTTTTTTGTTTTTTTTTATTGTTTGGTAAATCAACATCAAAGATCCTTTGAAAGTGTTGTATTACCGTTACAGTGTTGGTATGACTCGATCCACAGTGATAAAATTTTGCCATCAATATAATGCCAGGTCAGCCTCCTGCATATCTATACAGTCTAACCTAAGCTCTCAATATTTGTATTTCGATATAACAAACCCCTTCACTGTAAATTGACTGTGTTAAATTCAATACTGGGTAATTCCAATACTTAAATTATAAGTAGATCCAGGGTTAAAACTCAATCTCCCAAAATTATATAAAAATAAATATTTTTTTCCAGTACCCAAACACCTGAGGCACTGTGTTTACTTGGAATGGAATCCTGTACATCACAATCTGGTATGTATAAAGTATGCAATTGTGTCTCAATCAAATTCTTTACACATTATGTAATTTGCCATGATGATTTCTTGGTACCCAATAAATAATCATTCTAACACGCTTTTCACTATTCCCTCTATCAAACTGATAGGGCAATCATGTGCATTATTTAACGATATATGCACAGCATAAAAAAGGAATGCTTACAGGTCATATGATGTCAATAAATAAAATGATGTCAGGAAAATTTCTTCTTCGCTTAATGAAGTTTAACACATTTTATTATTTCTTTTTTTATTAGCATTTTTTTTATCTCTCTAGACCAACACCTCTAAGCAAAAAGCGAAATCTTTGCCACCTAAAGAGTGTTGCCCTGCCGGGGTTCTACTGTAATGCAATTGAATAAATGCTTTTACTACTTTTTAGTTAGCAGAAGGTCTGGACAAACACAGGAATGATTGTTGTATCAGTATCTGGGATGTCAACTCAAGAGCTAACTCTGATTTAGCTGGTGGTATGGAACGACAGAGGTTCAGCTCAAACATGGCCGAAAATGCTGCCAATAAACCGTTTGTTGAGACAGGTAAGTCACATTTTTTTATTGTGATTTATTGAAGGACATAGGGAGCTATTCTACTCACCTTGTGGGCGTCCGTGGCCAAGTGGTTAAGGTCGTTGACTTCAAACAACTTGCCCCTCACCGCTGTGGGTTCGAATCCCGACAGGGACTTTGGATTCTTTCATGTGAGGAAGCTATCCAGCTAGCTTACTGAAAGTCTGTGGTTCTACTCAGGTGCCCGTTCGTGCCTGAAATAATGCACGGAAGGGCACCTGAGGTCTTCCTCCACCAGTAAAGCTGGAACGTCGCGATATGACCTATACTGTGTCGATGTGACGTAAAACCCAAAACAAACAAACAAACAAATACTCACCTTGTATACAAAATATATTTTCATGTGCCAAAGCTAATTTCCGAGATAACGTACCTTTCCAGGGTAGATTTACTTGCTTAACATTTGTACCAAGATATAGTTAACAGTCAGGTGTCACTCTTTCATTTGCTAAAATATCAGGAACATACATACATGTAATTCAAATTTCTTTCAAATGATTGTTAATATAAGGCTGTTTAAGACAGTTTTGCTGTGTAAATTTCTTATTATTATATTCTAACATCAGAAATGTACAAAAAAGTAGTGTTATCTTTTTAGCTTGTTATGCCCCCATTTCGAAGAAAAGGGGGTATATTGCTTTGCACTTGTCGGTCCGTCGGTCCGTAGACCAAATGGTTTCCGAGTGATAACTAAAGAACCCTTAGGCCTAGGAACTTCAAACTTGGTATGGTGATTGATCATGACCAGTAGATGACCCCTATTGATTTTGGGGTCAAGGGGTCAAAGGTCAAGGTCACATTGACCTTGAAAGCAAAAACGGTTTCCGATCAAGAACTAAAGAACCTTAAGGCCTAGGAACTTCAAACTTGGTATGGTGATTGGTCATGACCAGTAGATGACCCCTATTGATTTTGGGGTCAAGGGGTCAAAGGTCAAGGTCACATTGACCTTGAAAGCAAAAACGGTTTCCGATCAATAACTAAAGAACCTTAAGGCCTAGGAACTTCATACTTGGTATGGTGATTGGTCATGATCAGTAGATGACCCCTATTGATTTTGGGGTCAAAGGTCAAGGTCACATTGACCTTGAAAGCAAAAACGGTTTCCGATCAATAACTAAAGAACCTTAAGGCCTAGAACTTGGTATGGTGATTGGTCATGATCAGTAGATGACCCCTATTGATTTTGGGGTCAAGGGGTCAAAGGTCAAGGTCACATTGACCTTGTAAGCAAAAACGGTTTCCGATCAATAACTAAAGAACCTTAAGGCCTAGGAACTTCAAACTTGGTATGGTGATTGGTCATGACCAGTAGATGACCCCTATTGATTTTGGGGTCAAGGGGTCAAAGTTCAAGGTCACATTGACCTTGAAAGCAAAAACTGTTTCCGATCAATAACTAAAGAACCTTAAGGCGTAGGAACTTCAAACTTGGTATGGTGATTGGTCATGATCAGTAGATGACCCCTATTGATTTTGGGGTCAAGGGGTCAAAGGTCAAGGTCACATTGACCTTTTAAGCAAAAACGGTTTCCGATCAATAACTAAAGAACCTTAAGGCCTAGGAACTTCAAACTTGGTATGGTGATTGGTCATGATCAGTAGATGACCCCTATTGATTTTGGGGTCAAGGGGTCAAAGGTCAAGGTCACATTGACCTTGTAGGTAAAAACGGTTTCCGATCAATAATGAAAGAACCCTTAGGCCTAGGGACTTCAAACTTGAGATGGTGATTGGTCATGATCAGTAGATGACCCCTATTGATTTTGGGGTCAAGGGGTCAAAGGTCAAGGTCACATTGACCTCTTCGGTAAAAACGGTTTCCGATCAATAACTAAAGAACCTTAAGGCCTAGGAACTTCAAACTTGGTATGGTGATTGGTCATGACCAGCAGATGACCCCTATTGATTTAGGGTTAAGGGGTTAAAGGGCAAGGTCACATTGACCTTGTAGGTAAAAATGCTTTCCGATCAATAACTTAAGAACCCTTATGCCTAGGAACTTCAAACTTGGTATGGTGATTGGTCATGACCAGCAGATGACCTATTGATTTTGGGGTCAAGGGGTCAAAGGTCAAGGTCACATTGGCCTTGTAGGTAAAAACGGTTTCCGATCAATTTACTAAAAACGCTTAGGCCTAGGAACTTCAACCTTTGTGTGATGATTGGTCATGACCAGCAGATGACCCCTATTGAGTTTTAGGTGAAGGGTCAAAGGTCAAGGTCACATTGACCTTGTAAGTAAAAAACGGTTTCTGATCAATAACTCAAGAACACTTAGGCCTAGGAACTTCAAACTTGGTATGGTGATTTGTCATGACCAGCAGATTACTCCTATTGATTTTGGGATTAAGGGGTCAAAGGTCAAGGTCACAATGACCTTGTAAGTAAAAACGGTTTCTGATCAATAACTAAAGAACGCTTCGGCCTAGGAACTTCAAACTTGGCATGGTGATTGGTCATGACCAGCAGATGACCCCTATTGATTTTGGGGTCAAAGGTCAAGGTCACATTGACCTTGTATGTTAAAACGGTTTCCGATCAATAATAAGAGAACCCTTAGGCCTAGGAACTTCAACCTAGGCATGGTGATTGGTCATGACCAGCAGATGACCCCTATTGATTTTGGGTCAAGGGTCAAAGGTCAAGGTCACATTGACCCTTGTAGGTAAAAACGGTTTCTGATTAATTTACTAAAAACGCCTAGGCCTAGGAACTTCAAACTTTGTATGATGATTGGTCGTGACCAGCAGATGACCCCTATTGAGTTTTGGGTCAAGGGGTCAAAGTCATGACCAGTAGATACTTTATAACCCTTATTGATTGTTTGATCACTGGGTCAGAAGTCATGCATAATAACCTTATCACATGACTAATTGGCTGCTGATAGGGGGCATACATGTTTTACAAACATATCTTGTCTATTTCAAAGAAAATAGATATTATGATTGCTGCGGCATCATCATCGTTGTTGTTGTCATTGTGAAAAAACTTTAATGTAGCCCATTACTTACTTGAACAATTTTAAAGGTATCAAATGAAAATTGTAGTAATTGATCTATCAGACAAGGTACAAGGGGCATAATTCTGAAAGCTATACATTTTGTCTTTTTGGAGTTATGCCCCTTTTAACGTAGAATTTTTGTTAAAAGTGGTTATTTTATCAGACAAGTGTTAATACCACATGGATTGCTCTTGTTTGAAAGAACATGCTTGGGCTGTAAGTTTATAATTAATTTTGTGTTGTTAAATCTTCTAAGTGTTTATGCAAGGTTTATGCAAGGCTCTGGCAGAAATATTTCATTGTTTGTTTGATTTTTTTCAGGTATGGGTGACACAACTTCATCATTTGCATGGTTTAATAAGGAGCCCAAAACTTTTATCTCAGGAATGAATGGGAAATGTCTTAGAGTTTACGATATCAGAGGTATGAATTTAGAATTTGTTGTTTCAGATTTAAATGTGCATGTTAGTAAATTTTTTTTAAGTCATTTTTTTGATACAAGACAGATATTTTTAGATATACAGTAAGTAAAGAATTGACAATTTTTGGAGCAAATATTAATATATGTTCAGGTATGTAATTGTAACCTTTTGTGTAACAGTATCTTCCGATGACATTTTAACTTTTCAAACAAACAAGGGATAGTAGCTTTAAAATCTGTTTTTTTTGTTATATTGTATAACAATATTTATAAACTATAATTATAATATTTATAAACTATAATTACTCTTTATCTTCTTTGATGAATATAAATAATACTTCTTTTTTTATCAAATTCAAAAAAAAAATCTTTTTCAGATGTAACAAAGCCCCATTTGGTTTCTCACACCAAATATGTGCACGGTGTATGTTCAGATCCACTACACGAGTCACGTGTAGCAGGATATGCTGAGGTATTGATTTTTTCTGTTTTTATGTAAAAAGTACTCTACATGGTCTAGCATGGCAGCATATGCTGTGTTAATGATTTTTAGCTAACCTGAGGACAATGTCCTCAAGGTGAGTTTTTGTGATGGCCCGTTGTCTGTGCTCCATGATCCGTTCGTTAACAATGTCTTTAAACAACTTCTCCTTCTTCACCACTCGGCCAAATTTGTTCAAACTTGGCAGGGATGTTGCTTGCATGAAGCTCTACCAAAGTTGTTTAAAGAATTAGATTCCATAAGAAAACTCTGTTTGCCATCGCAACCAAAAGATTATTTCACAAAAATTCTTAAAAAAATCTTCTTGTAAAATACTGAGTTAGCGCTAAGATATTTGTCATGAAACATCTTCTAGTGGATGTCTACCAAGTTTGTTCAAATAAAATCCCAATGGTCAAAATTGACCCCACCCCAGGGTGTCATTTATTTTCCTTATATGTATCTAATAAAAACTTATAAAATCTTCTTGTGACAATCCAAAAGCACCATAGATTAGACTTTGTCACGAAACATTTTCTAATGGATATCTAATAAGTTTGTTCAAATAAATGCCATAGGGTCATTGATTTTCCTTATATATACATGTATATAGTAAAAACTTAGAAATTCTTCTTGTGAAAATCCAAAAGAGCTAGGGCTTAGATATTTGGCATAAAACATCTTGTAGATGTCTGCCAACTTTGTTCAAATAAAATCCCTAGTGTCAAAATTGCCAGGCCCTAGGGGTCATTGATTTTCCTTTTATGTATTTAGTAAAAACTATAAAAAATCTTCTTGTGAAAATCCAAAAAGAGGTAGAGCTTAGATATTTGGCATGAAATATGTTCTAGTGTATGTCTACCATGTTTGTTGAAATAAAACCCTTAGGGTCAAAATTGGCTGCACCCCAGGGGATCGAGGTAGACAGTTCAATCCCGAGCCAGGTCAAATGTTTGTTTTTCTTCTCTTTTTCAATCATCTTTTTATTAGCTCACCTCTCACTAGTGACATTTGAACTGTTTAATAAAATGGCTGCCAGAGCTATAATTAGAAAACAACAAGATCTAAACAATATCTCAGCCACTGGCTCAATTTTGAAATAATTTTACACAAATGTTTTTTTGCGACATTGTACAAAAATTGTTCAGATTAAGCTGTCCCTTGTTTTCAAATAGTGCTTCTGGGGTGAAAAGGGGCTCCACTTTGACTGTTAGACATATTTGTCAGGTGAGCGATCCAAGGCCCTCTGGGCCGTCTTGTTTCTGTTGTTATGTAAAAAGAACTCTACATGGTCTAGCATGGCAGCATATGCTGTGTTATTGATTTTTTTCCTTGATTGTGTAAATTGTATAATATGGTATATTTGGAACCACTTCATGGTCTAGCGTGGTGCAATAATGCTGTGGTATTGATTTCTTTCTAATAATACTTAAAACGTGGAATTTTATGTAAATCATTTTGGATAAGCTCTAGTGACACTTAAAATGTGTCTGGTTAAGATTGAATTTTAAATGTCGAGTTAAAATTATGTTCAACTAGTAAAGTAATAACTAACTTCCTGATCAAATTTGTGAATTTTTTCATAAGACAAATTGATCCCAGTGTGAATTCTGCTTTTGTATTGTATTCTGTTTGAAAGCTATCTGGACAAATATTATTATGCATGTATTCTTAAGTCTTGTAATCTATACAAATTTTAATGGACTGCTTGAAGTGGACTTTGAACAGTGATTTTAGTTTTCTTCCTCATCCCTGAAAATGGACATTAATGTTGTTTTTATTTTACAGAATCATGTGGCAATATGGGATGTTAGAAACTTTGATAAACCTGTATCCTTGAATAAACTGTCATAAAATGTATAGCAAACACTTCCAAATAAATATTTTACACTCTGAAACAAAAAAGAAAGGATGGTGTAACAGTACAACTTCTTTACTGAACTTTGTAGATGTGTATAGATCTTTTAGGACCTCTCTTAGTCAGAGTAATAAAGGTTGTCAAATTCAAATCACTTGCCCCTTTCCATTGTGGGTTCAAATACCTTTAGTGACTTTGGATTTTTTCATGTGATGAAGCTATATTGCTAGCTGATGGATAGCTGGTGGCTTTACTCAGGTGCCCTGCTAGTGCCTAAAATAATGCATAAAGGCCTTTTTAGGGGCACCTGAGGTCATAAAATAAAATAGTCATTTTATCATGCGTTTGGAAAATAGTGCAAAACTATAGAAATTGTTTTCATTTTTAGCAGAGTCAACAGATGTGCCAACAAAAACAACAGATTTGTCCAAAGTTCATTTGGGGATATTTAAACTACAAGCTGAAAATACAACCAATTTTAACAGCATTTCAGCCGATGATATGAATAGCCAATCTGTTAATAATGAAAACCCTGTATTGAAATTGATTTCACTCAGATCTTAAGGGTTCATTAATCAAAAATCCGATACGAGTGGCCTTTACATTATGTAATGAGATGTATAATTTATAATGATACAATAAATAAAAAAAAATGTGTGGGGACAATTTTGAAACCCTGCCTTCTTTTGAATTTTACTAGTCCTTGACTCTACACAGATATTAACTTTACCAACAGATAGAGCCATTTTGAAAATTGACTGGTGTCCAACAAGGTAAGCTTATGAATGATCTCCCTTTAGTGTATTTATAAATTACCTCCCTTGGTATGTTTGTAGATTTAATTAAGCAAATTATTGTTTTACATGGTTTAGTAAATGTTTGTGTAACAGTTCATTAGGTATTATTGAATGTACTATTTTGACATGGTTATAGTTTTAGAATAACTTTTACTTTTTTGCACTTTGATAATTTTATTTGATTTATAATAAAATTTTATATGTAAGAAAGAATGAAAAGAAAATTGCTACAATTATATAAGTTTAGGAACAATGATTATCATTATATAAGGGAGCTAACTCCCATATTCTTGCACTCACTTTGTTACAAATGTTGGTTAAAATGTTGCTTGTGGAATTTTTTGACATGGCAAAGCTATCCAGTTAACCTATGGAAGTTCAGTGTTTATATTGCTGGACATGTTACATCCAGAACATGATATTACACACAGAGGCTCACCGTAGGCTGTAGGACATTTTACAATTTCAGTATCGCTAATAAACCCAACAAAACAAGCAAACATGATAGCACGTTTAGATCAATAAAATATTTGCTTACGTCATATTCTGTAATTGTAAATGTTCATTATATTGTTTGATAAGACCAGGGGTTTTGGCGGCACTGTGTCGTGATAGTTCCGTAGTGAAGCTGTATGACATCAGACATTCCGTGGTAGGACCAGACGAGCTAGAACCGGTGACATTTGAGAGAAATATTCAACGTATGTATATTTAGATTATAATCTGACTGCTCATTCCAAAGAATTAATATATGTAAACCATAAGAGGTTCATTACATATTGTTCATATTTATCTGCCCGCCATAAAACTTATGAAAGTTATGATTATAATCACAAACCACAATGACTTTACACCACTTATCTATGTTTTGTGTATAATCAGATGTTAGTGTTAATTAACACTTAAATTTAAAACCAAAATGATTTGCCATTTCCACCTGTATAGAGCCAGACCAGTCTGCTCTTCCATGCAATCTGACCAAACTCTACACTGTTGGCTAAATAGTGGTGGGGTAGGTAGTTTTCTCTATGTATCATGGCAGTAAGCCACTCTGAATTCACCAAATCAAAGTTTAGCTTCAGCATCGCTCCTGGACAGGGGTTCAAGCAGTTTATCAAGTACTAGAGCCTTCATTTTTGCAAAGAACTGATAACTTTTATTCATTTCTTAGCAGAGGTACAGTGAGAATGACCATAGATAGGATTTCATGATCAATCATAACGAAAGTCACCCGCACCATTTTGGAATTGAACGGAGTCGCCCCCATTCACAGTCCAACGCTCTTTTTATTGAGCTAACCGGATTGTTTTTATGGCTGAATAACTTAGTTTTCATCATAGGTTAAGGGTTGATACAATATGACTTGATCATGTTAACAATTTTCTTTTATTCTTATTACTGATTTTGATATTTCAGCATTTAGACAACACCAGGTGGTGCATTTTGCCTGGCATCCGACTTGTGAGAATAGAATTATCACTGTAACACCCACTGGTAACCTCAAGGACAATCAGATCTATGAAAAACTACCTATTGTAAGTTTGTTACAGATATTCTTCATGTGTATGCCTCTAGGTGCTGAATGGGTTTGGGTAAGGAGCAGTGATTAGATATTAGGAAAATTAAGTTGAGTTTATCAGATGTTTATTAATGGCTCATTATGCCTCAGAAATAAATATTTATATTTCTTCAGAAAGGGAATGTTTTAATAATGTATTTAATTAAACGCTTGGAATTCTTATAACAAAAGAATCACCATGTATATTATTATAAATACAGAGTTTATCACCATGTATGATATTATTGTCATTACAGAGTTTATCACTGTGTATTAGATTATTAAAATTTCTAAGTTTATCACTGTGTATGATATTATTATCATTACAGAATTTACCCCAGTTAATATATTCTTCATGACAGAATTTATCTTCATAAAGTATTTTTTTTCAGAGTTTATCGCCATGCATTATATTATTATTACAGAGTTTATCACCATGCATTATATTATTATTACAGAGTTTATCACCATGTATGATATTACTATTACAGAGTTTATCACCATGTATGATATTACTATTACAGAGTTTATCACCATGTATGATATTACTATTAAAGAGTTTATCACCATGTATGATATCATTATTATTACAGAGTTTATCACCATGTATGATATCATTATGATTACAGAGTTTATCACTGTGTATGATATTATAATTACAGAGTTTATCACCATGTATGATATAATCATTACAGAGTTTATCACCATGTATGATATTATTACAGAGTTTATCACCATGTATGATATTATTATTACAGAGTTTATCACCATGTATGATATTATTACAGAGTTTATCACCATGTATGATATTATTACAGAGTTTATCACCATTTATGATATTATGATTACAGAGTTTATCACCATATATGATATTATTATAATTACAGATTTTATCACCATGTATGATATTATTACAGAATTTATCACCATTTATGATATTATTATTAAAGAGTTTATCACCTTGTATGATATTATGATTACAGAGTTTATCACCATATATGATATCATTATGATTTATCACCATATATGAATTATTATAATTACAGAGTTTATCACCATGTATGATATTATTGTTTTTACAGTTTCACCATGTATGATATCATTACTGATTTTCAAACTGTGTATGATATTTTTGCTACAGAGTTTTATCACCATGTATGATATTATTATAATTTTAATGTTTATCAGTGTATGATATTTTTATTACAGAGTTTATCACCAAGTATGAAGTTATCCTGGGTATTCAGTAGGAAGATTGGTATTCAGGATAGTTGTTCAGAATTAGATATGGCTGAAAGAATCAAACTGAGAGCCTTAAAGGGATATGGTCTACATGTAAGATTTTATAACCATTTTTTACTCGAATAATTAGACATTGAATTGTACAATATGTGACTATATTTGTACACAGAAAGAAATATCATATTGGAGGAGCCACAATGTGAGGCCAATATGATTTCTGAAGCTGTGTATCAGTCAAGATGTATCCTGTATTGTACTGTTCAATGATAAATAACTTGTTAGTTTTAAATCCAAGTAATATTGAGTAACTGCAAAATATGGCTGTTTGAGTAAGATATCTTTTAGTGGTTGATATATCTGCTTTAGTTTTACTTGTAAGGGTTTTTTTGTTTATGTCCGGTATTAAAAATTATATATTTTACCTACTTAAAGGATAATGCTAAAATGCAAGTCAGAACCGTTTTGAAAGACTCAGTTAATATTCTTAGTACATTTCATTATGATATTTACATTAAAGGTGTCTCAATTTTTCAATGAAAATCCCAAGACAGATATCAGAGGAAAGTTTTATAACATTGAGACCAAAACTCTGGAACAATGCAATCTTTGTACAGTACTATATTATGGTATAACAATATTAGATATTTTTAATTTTAGAGTACAGAACCTTTGGACAATGTAATATTTGTACAGTACAGTACTTTAGTATAACAATATTTACATGTTTGGAATTTTAGAGTACAGAACCCTAGAACAATATAATATTTGTTCAGTGAAGTATTATGGTATAACAATATTACATATTTGCAATTTTTAGGTACATAATTATGAAACAATGCAATATTTGTACAGTATAAAATATATTAGATATTTGTAATTTTAGAGTACAGAACTATGGAACAATGCTGTAGTGGTGGCAGATGAACCAAATCTTCATGCATTGTGGCACTGGCTTGACTGTATCCTTTGTTCTTTTGTTAATGTGCTAATCTGTTATTATCATTTAATACTTTACCCTCTCCTGTGTTACAATTATATCAAAAACAAGTTACACTTGTGAAGTTTGTGGTATTTTATAATACATTTATTTAATGTCTGAGGGACATCTGTGACAGAGTGGTTAAGGTCGTTTACTTGAAACCACTTGCCCCTCACTGCTGACATTCCAAAAGCTATCTGGATAACTTCCTCACATTAAAGAATTCAAAGTCCCTGGTGAGATTCAAATCTACAGTGGTGAGGGGCAAATGGTTTAGATTCTTATCCAGTTTGCATATGGTATAGGTTATGTTCCTACTCCGAAACAGTTTGTACATAATTCTTAGATGGGTAGATGAGTCTTTTACTGTTAGGAAACCTGTAAAGTTGCCATTAAAAAACTATAAAAGTGCCAGTGTGACATTTAACCCAACTGAAAAAAAAACAACAAAATTTTTAGATCGAATGAGACTAACGATAATTTTTGCAGCAACCTTAACTCATGTTCAGTATCAACAAAGATTTTACAAGGTGACGAAGTTCCGAAGAAACCGAAGGCATCTCGGTTTATAGGTGTACGGGATTTGATCAACCAAGAACAGGAGAATAGACGCAGTGAATCCACGCTAAATGGATGGCAGTACCCTGATGGAATGAAGAGTAATTCACTTGACAGTAAACTTGTGTACCAGTATAAAAGTGAGGCTAGGTAAGACTTAAACAATATTTTACCATCCCCTCTTGCTGGCCTAGTTGTTAAGGTGTCTGCCTCTAAACCCAGGGATTGTGGTTTGATCCCTGCTGAGGTCACAACCGGTCTCTCTCATTTTGACAGCAGTACTGTTTAGTTAAATTAAGAGACTTAAGAGTGGTTTTAAATAAGCTTCAAGCTTTCTTTTTCCTTAGCATAAATAAATGTTTGGGGCATCCGTTGACTTCAAACCTCTTGCGTTACACTGCTGTGGTTTCGAATCCAGACACAGACTTTGGATTCTTTCATCTGATGAAGCTATCCAGGTAGCTTACGGGATGTAGATGGTTCTACTAAGGTGCCTGTTTGTGCCTAAAATAATGCATGGAAGGGCACCAGAGGTCTTAGTCCGCTAGTAAACCTGGAAAATTGTCATACAACTTATACTGGTGTTGGTGCAATGTAAAAATCGACCAAAAATAAAATAAATGATAAACATTAATAAACAATATTTACACAAAATATATTGTTTTGGAACATTTACAAATAATGTTTTAAATTGTTTCAGGTCTCGAGCGCTACAGTTTTGCGGCTGGTGGTGGTATAGTAAAGACCAGAAAGACAGCAGTGACAAACTATCACTACTTCTAAACAGTTTGGTCAGTGAAAACCACGAATACGAGAGAGCCGCGGCCATTGCTTTGTTCAACCTAAAGATCGGAACAGCTATTAGTATACTCAGTGGTGAAGAAGCAACAAGAGGTATTGTAATGTCTTACTCTAACTTACAATAAACTAACAACTAAATTGTGCATTGAAGTGAGGTTTTTACTCTTTATATACATGTTTACCAGTGTATGAATTACACATGTATGCTTGAATACATTCAAGCCATCAAATCTGGTTAATGTAATCCGTTACAGTCAGACAATGGTTCTCCTCTATACGATGTAACATGGAGAATCAGTAATTATGTTATCACTTATGTTATCATGATTTAAACCTGACCACACTAAATATCTTAAATGGACTTGCCCATTTTTCAATCTGGACAAGACCATTTGTCAATTTTAGGGAAAATTTTCCAAATATGGACTAACTGAAACTGTTCTGCTGACATTGATCGATAAAGTGTGCAGTTCTACTCTAAATTTTACAAGGATGCCATTGAAATAAATTCTCAACTTTGTCTATTTTTAGATTCAAGAAGGTCTTATGCTGATCTTTAGATAATTTAAACCATGTTAAATCATGACTTTTCATGACTAAATGCAAACAGTGGATTCTTTTATATTTATTGCCATATAATACTGTTGTGTAAAATTACCTTTTTTACATTAACAGAGAAACCAGTTTTAAGCATGGTTGCCATGGCGCTGTCAGGGTTTACAGAAGAGAAGAACGCATTATGGCGTAAAACATGTATAGATTTACAACAGACCCTGGAGCACCCTTATCTACGGGCCATGTTTGCATTCCTAGCAAGTGACAAAGACAGTTATGATGATGTTCTGGTAATTTATACCTTCAGTATTCTATTTATAAAAATGTAATGATGGTTCTATTTATAGAAATGTAAGGATGGTTCTATTTATAGAAATGTAAGGATGTTTCTATTTATAGAAATGTAAGGATGGTTCTATTTATAGAAATGTAAAGATGGTTCTATTTATAAAAATGTAATGATGGTTCTATTTATAGAAATGTAAGGATGGTTCTATTTATAGAAATGTAAGGAAGGTTCTATTTATAGAAATGTAAGGATGGTTCTATTTATAGTAATGTAAGGATGGTTCTATTTATAGAAATGTAAGGATGGTTCTATTTATAGAAATGTAAGGATGGTTCTATTTGTAAAAAATTCACTACGATTCTTTCTAACTTTATCTCAGTATTGTTCTGTCTAACTTAATCTGAACATGGTTCTATTTTAACTTTATCTCAGTATGATTCTATATCACTTTATCACAATATGGTTCTATTTAACTTTATCTCAACATGGTTCTATTTTAACTTTATCTTCACATGGTTCTATTTAACTTTATCTCAACTAACTGTACCGGGGGCGTCCCTGGCCGAGTGGTTAAGGTCGTTGACTTCACCGCTGTGGGTTCGAATCCGGACAGGGACTTTGGATTCTTTCATGTGAGGAAGCTATCCAGCTAGCTTGTGGAACGTTGATGGATCTACTCAGGTGCCTGTTCGTGCCTGAAATAATGCACGGAAGGGCACCTGAGGTTTTCCTCCACCAGTAAAGCTGGAACATTGCGATATGACCTATACTGTGTTGATGTGACGTAATACCAAAAACAAACTAACTTTACCTCAAAATGGCTCTATTTAACTTTATTTCAGTATGATTCTATATAGCTTTATCTCAGTATAGTTCTATTTTACTTCATCTCAACAATTTTCCATTTTACTTCATCTCCACATGCTTCTATTTAACTTTATCTCAACATGGTTCTATCATACTTTATCTCAACATGCTTCTATTTATTTTTATCTCCACATGGTTCTATTTAACTTTATCTCAACTAACTTTACCTCAACATGGTCCTATTTTAACTTTATCTCAGTATGATTCTATTTAACTCTACATCAATATGAATCTTTTTATGTTTTTCTCAACATGGTTCTATCATACTTTGTCTCAACATGGTTCTATTTAACTTTATCTGCACATTGATCTATTTTACTTCATCTCAACATGGTTCTATTTTACTTTATCTCAACATGGTTCTATTTTACTTCATCTCAACATGGTTCTATTTTACTTCATCTCAACATGGTTCTATTTTACTTCATCGCAACATGGTTCTATTTTACGTCATCTCCACATGGTTCTATTTTACTTCATCTCCACATGGTTCTATTTTACTTCATCTCCACATGGTTCGAATTTATTTGATCTCAACATGGTTCTATATTACTTCATCTCCACATGGTTCTATTTAATTTGATCTCAATAAGGTTCTATTAAACTTTATCTCATTATACTTCTGTTTAGTATTGTATATTACTTTATCCTAATATGGTTCTATTTAACTTAATCTCATTTAGGGGTGTGGATCGTCGGATAAGTGACGATCCGATCCGAACCACGATTCAGCACTTACGATTCACAAATCGAACCACAGATCTATTGTTATCAAGACACCCATAAAAACATGTACATTAGTTATAAAAAACATGTTTATTTAAAAAAAAAACAAAAAAAAACAATACTAAACATTAAACATATAAAATATAAACTATGACTGTTTATGTTTTTATTCTTTGGATAAGTATTTTTGTTTTGTCTTTTGAAACCAATTACTTCCCTAAGCTGAGCATCATGGTACATGGTCTCTAACCGGCAAATTATATTAGTGTAAACTTCATATAATTTATACACAAATCGTATTTTTCTCGATTTTAAGAGTGTGAGAAACAGTGAATGTATATAAAGAAATTAGATCGCAATTCAACGATCTCTGTGATTACGAATATTCAAAATCGATTTTTTACTTTGATTCGTGATTATCCGAGTACTCGGATACTCGCCCCAGCCCTAATCTCATTATGGTTATATTTATATGCTAAGTACAAAATGTCACCGTCCAAAAATTCAGTATCATTTTATATATTGTAGAAAAAAGAACCTTGTATGGCTGTGAAAGATATGGTAGCATTTGCTTGCATATACCTGAATGATATACAGGTAAGTATTCATTATCCATATGATCAAAATCTTTGTTAATCTTTTACTTTCTGGAACAGCAATTGATAAATTTTTGTCACCAGTATAGAGTCAGGCCAGCCTGCACTTCCGTGCAGTCTGACCAGGCTCTATACTGTTGGTAGCTCAATTTTTATACGCCCGTTTGAAAAACGGGACGTATTATGGGAACGCCCCTGGCGGGCGGGCGGCGTCCAATTTTGTCCGGAGCATATCTCCTACATGTATGGAGGGATTTTAATGAAACTTCATAGAAATGTTCACCACTATGAGGAGCAGTGTCGCGCACATGAACCAGGTCTCTAGGTCAAAGGTCAAGGTCACACTTAGAGCTCATTGAAAAACGCTTGTCCGGAGCAAAACTTCCACATGCATAGAGGGATTTCAATATAACTTGGCACAAATGTTCACCATTGTGAGGCGGAGTGTCGCGCACAAAATTCAGGTCCCTGCAGCCAAGGTCAAGGTCACACATAGAGGTCAAAGTTTAGATAAAAATATGAAGATGTGTATAGGGACAATTTAATCATCATTTATTGAGGGATTGTAACACAATTGCAAGGTCAAGGTCACTAAAGATGGTGAAATATCCAGATTTTGTCTGGAGCATATCTCCTACATGTATGGAAGAATTTTTATAATACTTTATGGAAATGTTCACCACCATGATATGTATTGCTCCATGCATGATCCAGGTCTCCAGGTCAAAGGTCAAGGTCACACTTAGAGCTCATTGAAAAACGCTTGTCCGGAGCAAAACTTCTACATTCATAGGGGGATTTCAATATAACTTGGCACAAATGTTCACCATTGTGAGGCTGAGTGTCTCACGCAAAAGTCAAGGTTACACATAGAGGTCAAAGTTCAGATAAAAATTTGAAGATGTGTATAGGGACCATTTAGTCATCATTTATTGATGGATTGTAGCACAAATGGTAACTATCATGACTACAGGTGTGACACATTTAATTTAGGTTAATATTTGCAAGGTCAAGGTCACTGGAGATGATTAAATATCCAGATGTTGTCCGGAGCAAAACTTCTACATGCATAGAGGGATTTCAATATAGTTTGGCACAAATGTTCATCATTGTGAGGCTGAGTGCCGTGCATAAAATTCAGGTCCCTGCGACCAAGGTCAAGGTCACACATCCTGTGCATATCTTCCCTACTGATTTGTTTTAAGGTTCATTTAACAACACAGTGCCAAGAATAAAAACTTGCTTGCTAGATAACACTTATCCATAATGCCCCCATCTCCATCTAAAGCTTTTGTAAACGGGCGTATTTTGTGACTATGGCACCCTTGTTTATTTTAAAATCCCTTAAACTTTGAATAGACTGTTTTCAAAAACCAGACAAATCCATAAACAAATTTATCATGTAAAGGGTTAACTCTTGAACTGCAAGCAGTGACCATGCCTTGACTATGTCTTCCAGTATAGAGCCAGGCCAGTCTGCATATTTGTCCAGTCTAATGAAACTCTTCTTTGTTAACTTAAGGCCAGCATACAAGTGTAGTATCATTAGGATAGAGTACAGTGTTGAAGTTTTAAATTATTTCATGATGTACAGTTTTTAAACATAATTCTACCTGTCAGATTTTTGAAGTAGATATTTGAAGTTTTATTACTTAGGGCCCTTGTACTCTAAGGACAGTTCAAGAGACAGAGGGAAGTGAGCCCAGCTTTCACCAGATTCCAAAGGGGATCATCATTGTTTCCTCGGGTTTTCTAGTAAACCAATTATTAAATTTTCCTATACACATGTTTATGTTTATTTACCTATATTTGCCTGTGTATGTCTGTACTTACCTGTTTATGTCTATAATTTCTTTCAGTTGGCCACATACCTCAATACAATTTCCAAACATCTTAAAGACAATGGCATTCTAGATGGTATATTACTTACTGGTAAGTATGGATTATGTAATAGAAAGAGCTATGCCCCCTCGTCTAAATCAGATAGCCTTGTGTTTCGATGTTCTTTCTCTTTTGTATCATAGGCAACAATAAAAAACACATTCCCTGTTGTCACTATGTTAAACCCAAGAAAAAAGTAGCCAATGTATGAACATTTGAATATGTCTTCTATCTTTATCTCTTTCCCTGTCGTTAAAATAAGTAAACCCCACAAAAAATGAGCCAATCAACAAGCATGCTCTAGACAGACAGTGAGTGGGGGTAACAATTACCTGAAAGTTCTCAATAGTAATGACTCCAAACTATGAAACAAAAAACACACTTGTTGATGATACAATTTAAAGCTGATTTTGCTGATCATAAAGTTTAAAACTTGATAGTTTAAGAAGTTAAGATAAATATTGGGTTCATGTTATTTCAGGTTTAATTAATCCAAGTTTAGCTAAACCTGGTTGACTTGGTTTAGATTTACTGGTTACATCCTATTTCAGGTTTAACTAATCAGGAAAGTTTAGATTTTCTGGGTACATCTTATTTCAGGTTTAACTAATTAAGAAGGTTTAGATTTACATGGTAATTGCTATTTTTGGTTTAACAAATCAAGAAGGTTTAGATTTACATGGTAATTGCTATTTCAGGTTTAACTAATCAAGAAGGTTTAGATTTACATGGTAATTGCTATTTCAGGTTTAACTAATCAAGAAGGTTTAGATTTACATGGTAATTGCTATTTCAGGTTTAACTAATCAAGAAGGTTTAGATTTACTGGGCAAGTATGTAGATAACACTTGTGATGTACAAACAGCGATATTAGCAGTAATATACAGCTCTCCAAGTGAACTTGGCAAAGATGAACGTGTACAGGTGTGGATGGAAAGGTAAACTGCTTGCTTATTTTGAATATTGTACAGAGGTGTTTATAATCCTTTTAGAATCAGGTCTTGGGTCAGCAAAATTCAGAAATATTTATGTCTTAAAATAAAGTATGTTTAGATAAGATGATTCACAACAACAGGAAAATTGCTATCTTTGTACAATTATTGAAACCAGTTTGTTTAGTTTAAACGTAATTAGGTTGATTGTAAAACTTATTTTTGCAACTTATATTAAACTATTTTGAGTCTGCTTCTTGGAACTAAGCTGTACTGGGGCCATATGATGAAGCATGATTGTGACCTAAGAAAGACTCCAACCCATGATGCCTGGGTTGTGAGGCAAACACCTAAACCACTAGGCCACTGCTCCCATTTTGTATATATGATAAGTTCCAGCTATTTAAAAGAAACAAAAAATTGTTGTTTTGTTGAATTCCTGTCTTGATATGATGTGTGCGTACAGGTCTAATGATAGCCTAAGTTGATCATCTTTTTGGGAGGTTGTTAAGTATTGTTTTTAGCTCACCTGTCACAAATCTATATTTATATTCAGGTAAGCTATATTGGGGCCATCATAGCCCTCTTGTTTTTATTTTTGGCAGATAGAGGAATTTAGTTGTTTTTCCTACAATCCTTTGACTGAAAAAGCAGCCTCCCTCTACCCTTACTGTTCTGAAAGTTTTTAGCTTACCTGTCACAAAGTGACATAGTGAGCTTTTGAGATCGCTTTTTGTGCGGCCGCTCTGTTGTCCGTCCGTAAACTTTTACTTAAAGGGCATCTCCTCATAAACGGCTAAACAAATTTCATTCAAACTTCACAGGAATGTTCCTTTTGTTGTCAACTTTGAAAATTGTTCGAAGAATTTGATTCCAAGCAGAACTCTGGTTGCCATGGCAACCGAAAGCAAAAACTTAAAATATCTTCTTTTAGAAAACAGAAAGAGCTAGAGCTTAAATATTTGGCATGAAACATCATCTAGTCATTATCTACCAAGTTTGTTCAAATAAAAGCACTGGGGTAAGAATTGGCCCTGCTCCAGGGGTCATTGATTTTCCTTTTTTGTATATAGTAAAAACTTAAAAAATCTTCTTTTAAAAAACCAAAATAGCTAGAGCTTAGATATAAAGCATGAAACATCTTCTAGTGGGTGTCTACCAAGTTTGTTCAAATAAAAGTCCTGGGGTAAAAATTGGCCCCATCCCAGGGGGCCATTGTTTTTCCCTTTATGTATATAGTAAAAACTTTATTTTTTTTATTTTTTTTAAAAACCCCAAAGAGCTAGAGCTAAGATATTTAGCATGAAACAGCTTCTAATGTGTGTCTACCAAGTTTGTTCAAATAAGGGCCCTTTGGTTATAGATTTTCCCTATATGTATATTGTAAAAACTTAAAAATCTTCTTATAAAAGACCCAAGAAAGCTAGAGTTTAGATACTAAGCATGAAATATCTTCTAGTGAATGTCTACCAAGTTTGTTCAAATAAAAGCCCCTGGTTTAAAATTGGCCTTGGCCCAGGGGCCTATATACAGGTGAGCGATTTCAGGGCCATTATGGCCCTCTTATTTTTATTTTAGGACTTATTAAATCATTATTTTTCTATTCAAAACACAATGCATTGAGAATAAAATCATTTTGAAATGAAGAAAAAAACTTATTTATAGTTATATTTGTTATTACAGTTATAGAGGTTTACTGGATAGATGGCAGCTGTGGCACCAAAGGTATTTCATGAATTTCTATCTGTCAAATTTTACAGAAATATTTGTAAATAATTAGTTATTGATACTATTGTATAGAGAAATTTGTCTGCACGTTTTCCTGCTCTGTAGCCTCTGCTTTCATGTATTGTAGTGGTATCAGAATAAGTCAAGAGGTCTGACAATGTGAAGAGGTTTGAATCAGATTGTAGAAACACTTTATAGCATTTAAAGGAACTGCATTGAGGTCTGTTATAAAATTATAAAATTTGTATTTCTTACATAGTATTAACTGGGATACTCGAACAAGCGAAAATTAATTCACATAATAAAGGCCTATACTTTTGTTCTCAGAATAAAATTGTTATTTTTGTGCAAATCTAAGCAGAACTAGAGCTTAAAGCTTTTAAACACCTTTTATTTTTGGGCATTTTTCACAGCTAAGATAATTATTCTGGAAAAACGAAGTGAGTGAATGATTTGAAATTTTGCACATAAATTTTCGTCTGCTGTTAGATTTTTACCTCACCTGTCACAAAGTGACATGGTGATCTTTTGTGATCGCTTTTCGTCCGTCGTCTGTCCGTCCATAAACTTTTTCTTTAAACAACATCTCCTCATAAACTGCTAAGCCAATTTCATCTAAACTTCACAGGAATGTTCCTTTGGTAGTGAACTTGTAAAAATTGTTCAAAGAATTTAATTCCATGCAGAACTCTGGTTGCCATGGCAACCAAAAGAAAAAACTTAAAATATCTTCTTTAAAAGAAACGTAAGAGCTAGAGCTAAAATATGTGGCATGAAACATAATCTAGTCAGAGTCTACCAAGTTTGTTCAAATAAATGCCCTGGGGTCAAAATTAGCCCCGCCCCAAGGGGTCATTGATTTTTAGCTCGACTTTTCTATGAAAAGGGGAGCTATCCTACTCGCCCCGGCGTCGGCGTCGGCGTTAGCGTCGGCGTCGGCGTTGGCGTCACACCTTGGTTAAGTTTTTCGTACCACCCCACTTTATTTCAGAAGTATTACAAGTATGGCTTTGAAACTTACCATACTTGTTCACCATCATAACCTCCATCTACAGACAGGAGTACATAACTCTGTCAAGGTTTTTGACAGAATTATGGCCCTTTTTTGACTTAGAAAGTGTATTGAGCTTGGTTAAGTTTTTTGTACCACCTCACTTTATTTCAAAACCATTGGAGGTATTGCTTTGAAACTGACCATACTTGTTTACCATCACGACCTTCATCAACAGACAAGAGGACATAACTCTGTCAAGGTTTTTGACAGAATTATGCCCCTTTTTGACTTAGAAAATACATTGAATATGGGTAAAATCCACTTATTGCCTTAGCCCTTTGAGATATTGCTTTGAAACTTTTAATGCTATTTCACATCATTACCCCCATCTGTACGCAAGAGAAGGTAACTCTGTCAGGGATTTGTTTTAAAAATTAAGGCCTTTTATCGACTTAGAATCTTGGTTAACTTTTTTGTACCAGTCAACTTTTTGACTGAACTGGTTGAGATATTAAATTGAAAGTTGGAATACTTGTTTACCATCATGGTCCCAAAACATGGGCAGGAGAAGGTAATTCTGTTAAGGATTTTATTTGAATTATGGCCCTTTTTGACTTAGAAACTCAGTTAAAATTTTCATTCTTGTCCACTTGTTGACTTAACCATTTGAGATATTACTTTGGAAGTTGGAGTTCTTATGTGCCATCATGAGACCTATCTGTAAGCAAGAGAAGATAACTCTGTGAAAATGTTTCTTGATTTGTACTTAGAAATTCCTAGTTAAAGTCTTGTGTGCCCTTAACTGTCAAAGTTTTGTTTTATAGGCAAGCACTAAAAAAGTCGAGCGCGCTGTCCTTCTGACAGCTCTTGTCTTTATTTGGATGTAGTAAAAACTTAAAAAATCATCTTTTAAAAAATTCAAATAGCTATAGCTTAGATTTTTGGCATGAAACATATTCTGATGGGTGTCTAACAAGTTTGTTCAAATAAAAGCCCTAGGGTCAAAATTGGCGCTGCCCCAGGGGGTCATTGTTTTCCCTTTATGTTTATAGTGAAAACTTAAAAAATCTTCTTTTAAAAAAACCCAAATAGCTAGAGCTTAGATATTAAGCATGAAACATCTTCTAAGTGGGTGTCTACCAAGTTCGTTCAAATAAAAGCACTAGGGTAAAAATTGGCCCCGCCCCAGGGGGGGTCATTGATTTTCCCGATGTGTATAGTAAAAACTGAAAAAATCTTTTAAAAACCCAAAGAGCTATAGTTTAGATATCAATCATTAAATATCTTCTAGTGAGTGTGTACTAAGTTTGTTAAAATAAAATCCCTGGGGTCAAAATTGGCTTGGCCCGGGAGAGGGGATTATTGTTTTTCCCTATATGTGTATAGTAAAAACTTAAAAAATCTTCTTTTAAAATCCCCAAAGCCCTAGAGCTTAGATATTTATCATGAAAAATCTTCTAATGGGTGTCTACCAAAATTGTTCAAATAAAAGCCCTTGGGTTAAAATTGGCCCTACCCCAGGGGCCTATATACAGGTGAGCAATTTCAGGGCCATCATGGCCCTCTTGTTTTGTTTAACATTATTTGCATATTTCCTTTTTCTTGCAAAAACAGACAATAATAGGAATCTTCAAAATGTGTCACTTTTGTCAATACCAGAGAATTCTGTATCAACAAAATTAAGTGAATTGACAGTACTATTGGACAGTACTTAATATGGGAAAACATTGAGAAAGAGCTATTTTCTATATTTCAGGGCCAAATTTGATATCATACGACATTCTGTGGATAAAACACGTGTTCAGAGTCAGGCGTTTGTCAGTTGTAATTTTTGTGGGAAGACAATAGCGTGCAATATGGCCCTAGCTGCTAGATCAAGGCCAAGTGCTTACAGTAGTCTGCCACCAACTAACAGACCAAAGGTAAAAAATGTTTTCATTCTTAAATGGGCTTTTTTGGCAGAGTGGTAAATGTTATTGAAAGTTTTTCTTCTTTCTTTCATGGGAGCATATTGTTGTCGGCTTGATTGGTCTGCACAGGTTTGGCTGTCCTCAACCAAAAATTCTGGAAAGTTACCATAGGGCTTTATCAAAAAATAAATCATAGATTACAAAATGTAGATAAATTGTGACCTGACTTTCCCATAATATTAATTACAAAGTCATGGCATGGCCGAGTGGTTAATGTGTCAGAGTAGTAATCTAATGATCGCTAGCTGCATGGGTTTGAACCCCTTCAGGTCGTTGTTTCCTTAAGCAAGAAACTTTACACTCATTGCTCAGTACTGGTTGGTTCCAGGGACGGATTCGAAATTGTGTCTATAAACTTATAGCTTCTTACACAATCAAATTAAAACAAATTCTGTGTAAACCAATTACAAGGTCACCTTTCAACATTTTTATATTTCATACATATTTTACAATGCAAATGTTTTTATCTTTTTAATGGAAGTTTTGATATGTGCTTATAAGTATTTGTATTATATGTGCAGATAACATGTTGTCCAGGCTGTAGAAAACCCCTACCTCGCTGTGCTCTCTGTCTCACTAACCTAGGAACACCATCTGGCTCAGGTCTTGGTCAATTGAAGGATAAATCAGGTAAAAACCTCATCCTATTATATGTTTCCATCAAATGAAGGAAAAATCTTGTAATAACCACATCTATTTTAAGTTTCCATCAAATGAATAATTTATCAGGTAGAAGACCTGATCCATACTAAGTTTCCATCAAATGTAAAAAACTCATCCATACTAAATTTCCATCAAATGAAGGATTAATCCTGTAAAACCCCTAACTTTCCATCAAATGAAGGATAAATCAGGTAAAAAACATTATCCATACTAAGTTTCCATCAAATGAAGATAATTCTGGTAAAAACCGCTTCAATACTAAATTTCCATCAAATGAAGGATAATTCAGGTAAAAACCTCATTCATACTAAATTTCCATCAAATGAAGGATAAATCATGCTATTTTCCTTGTCTGAACAGTATACCTCGAAAAGATTATGAAAATGCTTTTAAAAATTGGATTTAAAGACTAAATCTTTGTATATCACATGGTGGTGAGTATTTTGAAGGATTGAGATAATTATTTTGGCATTGTTTGTTAAGCACTTCTAAAAATTGACCCACATGCATTCATATTTGAATACCCCTCATAAATGACTAATGTGGAAATTTTGGTAAAATAATTTTTTAGACATTTTCAAAATCCTTTTTTTTTCAGAATTTGAAGGAAAGTTATCCTCATTCGATAGTTGGTTCACATGGTGTCAGACTTGCCGTCATGGTGGACATTCGTCACATGTCACAGACTGGTTCCAAGAACATACAGAATGTCCTGTGACTGGTTGTCAATGTAAATGTATGACATTGGACCCAAATAGTCAGTTAATGGCAGAAACGCCAAACTTACAGCTCATTGAGGCAGACACTTGATAGTGTTTGATAAATTGTACTTTGAACATGAATTATGTAACAATTGTATTCTGCACTTGAATTTTGTGACAATTGGGTTTTTATTAAGCACTTAAACTCAGTGAGCCTGCATATGGTGACAGTATACTGCCATGTCAAGCCTGCTTGTTTGCAAATTAACCAGCCATCGTTAAACCAAGTTTTATTGTACAAGCCAGGCGGCTTTTTGCAATTTCACTATGTTGGGTTTGATAATTATTGATATTATTTTTGGACCATTTTTATTTTTTAGCACTTATGTAACAATAATTACTAAACAGCATCTTGCATATATGCATCTACTGCTTCAAAATTGTTGCATGATTAAACTAAGCAAGGGCGTGTCTGGGAATAGCTGTTGCTTTAAAATACAGCTATTTTGTTAGCAGTTCAATTATAGGTTTCAGATGGAAATATCTGAATGTAACACTACTACTCTACGGAGTAGTGGCGACATATAGGGATCACTTCTCCGTCGTCTGTCTGTCTGTCCGTCTGTCTGTCTGTCTGTCTGTCCGTCTGTCCGTCCGTCCGTCACAAAACTTGTCCGGACTACTGCTCATAAACTACTGGTGCAATTTCATCCAAACTTTACAGGAATGATCAGTACCAAGTCTAGTTGTGCATATTGTCAGCATTTTCCGGTTCAATGATTTTTGTCAGAGTTATGGCCCTTTAATAATTTTTATTTTTAAAGTTTGTCCGGACTACTTCTCTTATACCACTAATGCAATTTCAATGAAACTTTACAGGATTGATCTATAGCTCAAGTCCTTGCGCATATTGCACGGGTTTTCCGGTTGAATGATTTTTGGCCGAGTTATGGCCCTTTGACAAAAAGGTGTTTTTTTCTGTGTGTTGCCACATACACAAAAACTTGTCCGGACTACTTCTCATCAACTACTGGTGCAATTTCATTTAAACTTTACAGGAATGATCAGTACCAAGTCTAGTTGAGCATATTGTCAGTATTTTCGGTTCAATGATTTTTGTCAGAGTTATGGCCCTTTAATAATTTTTATTTTTAAAGTTTGTCCGGACTACTTCTCTTATACCACTAAATTAATGCAATTTCAATGAAACTTTACAGGATTGATCTGTAGCTCAAGTCCTTGCGTATATTGCACTGGTTTTCCGGTTGTATGATTTTTAGCCGAGTTATGGCCCTTTGATAAAAAGGTCTTTTTTTCTGTGTGTTGCCAGATACGCAAAAGCTTGTCCGGACTACTCCTCATAAACTACTGGTGCAATTTTATCCAAACTTTACAGGAATGATCAGTACCAAGTCTAGTTGTGCACTGTTCGTCTGTCTGTCTGTCACAAAATTTGTCCCAACATGAAATTGGCCATCATGAGGCGACACATGTGATTACTGATCGCTCTTGTTTATATTTAAGGTTGCCATTGTGTACATAAATTTTGTAATGTTATGATGTCATATTTAGAGGATAATTATTGTTATATTTGATATTTAAAGATAATGTGAACAGATCTTGTGAAATGTTTTTTGTTGTTTTATTTTTATGAGCATATTGTGCTGAACTGAATACATTTTCTAGACCTCTTAAAATCATATAAACCCTTAATCTGCAGGAACCAAAATTGTTAAAACGTTTTTCACCAGTATATAACCAGGTCTGCTGGCTTATCCATGCTGTCTGACCAGGTTCTATACTTGAAGTAGCTCCAATTTTGTACTTTGATAATTGAAATTGTTTTAACTTGTGGGGTAAACTTACAAAAGATTCGGATGGTGCCTAATTTCTATATTTTTATTACCTTCAAGGCCCATTATGTCTCAGAAATGCAATTAATTCTATTTTTCAAAAACATTTTATTTTTGGTATCATGTTACAGTTTCCAAAAAAATGCTTATTAGCCAAATTCATAAACTCTCTTCTTCTACTTTTGCTCTATTGGCATAGTGAATCAGTATTTTGTATGGAAGTCACTTTATACTTCTTTGTTTAGGTTTGTAGAATGCCCTTGTGTGTTTATGTAGAATTCCTTATGTAGGTATTTAGAATCCCCTAGTATAGGTATGTAGAATCCCTACATGTAGATACATAAAATCCTTAAATGTATGTAGAATCCCTTAATGGATGTAGAATCCCATAGTATAGGGATTCTACATACCTAGTATAGGGATTCTACATACCTACACCAGGCGATTCTACATACATTAGAGGATTCTACATATCTACATAAGGGGACTTATCCCATATTAAGGGATTCTACATACCTACATCAAGGGATTCTACAGGTACTAGGTATATAGAATCCCCAAATGTAGCTATGTAGATTCCCCAAATGTAGCTATGTAGAATCCCCTAGTGTAGTTATATAGAATCCCCCAAGTGTAGGCATGTAGAATCCCCGCTAGTGTAGGCAAGTAGAATCCCCCCAGTGTAGGCATGTATAATCCCTACTGGGGGGATTCTACATACCTACACTAGGGGGGATTTTACATACCTACACTAGGGGGGATTCTACAGGTACTAGGCATGTAGAATCCCCCCAGTGTAGGCATGTAGAAATCCCCCCAGTGTAGGCATGTAGAATCCTTCCCCCAGTGTAGGCATGTAGAATCCCCCCCAGTGAAGTAGGCATGTAGAATCCCCCCAGTGTACATAGTATAGGGATTCTACATACCTAGTATAGGGATTCTACATACCTACACCAGGCGATTCTACATACATTAGAGGATTTTACATATCTACATAAGGGGACTTATCCCATATTAAGGGATTCTACATACCTACATCAATGGATTCTACAGGTACCAGGTATATAGAATCCCCAAATGTAGCTATGTAGATTCCCTAAATGTAGCTATGTAGACTCCCCAAATGTAGCTATGTAGAATCCCCCAGTGTAGTTATATAGAATTCCCCGAGTGTAGGCATGTAGAATCCCCCGAGTGTAGGCATGTAGAATCTCTACTGGGGGGATTCTACATACCTACACTAGGGGGGATTCTACATGCCTACTCTAGGGGGGATTCTACATACCTGCATATAGGGATTCTACAGGTACTAGGTATGTAGAATCCCCCCCCCAATGTAGGCATGTAGAATCCCCCCCCAGTGTAGGCATGTAGGCCACTACATGCCTACACTAAGGGGGGGGTTCTAAATACCTACACTAAGGGGAGGGATTCTACATACCTACACTAACAGGGGGGGGGGGATTCTACATACCTACACTAAGGGGGGGATTCTACATACCTACACTAAGGGGGGGATTTTACATACCTCTACACTAGGGGGGATTCTACAGGTACTAGGTATGTAGAATCCCCAAATGTAGCTATGTAGAATCCCCAAATGTAGCTATGTAGAACCCCCCCACCCAGTGTAGGCATGTAGAATTCCCCCCCCCCCAGTGAAGGCATGTAGAATTCCCCCCAGTAAAGGCATGTAGAATCCCCCGTGTGAAGGCATGTAGAATCCCCCCAGTGAAGGCATGTAGAATCCCTACATGGGGGATTGTACATACCTCTCTACACTGGTGGGATTGTACATACCTCTCTACACTTGGGGATTCTACATACCTACATTAGGTATGTAGAATACCCTAATATAGGTATGTAAAGATCCTGTAATGTAGGTATGTAAAATCCCTTTACTATGGTATTCTACATACCTACACTAGGGGATTCTACATACCTACATTTGGGGATTCTACAGGTATCAGGTATGTAGAATCCCCAAATGTAGCTATGTAGAATCCCCAAATGTAGCTATGTAGAAACCATGAGGGGAATCTTCATGCCTACACTGGGGGATTCTACATGCATCAAGGGAGTCTACATACCTACATTAAGCGATTCTACAGGTACCATGTATGTAGAATCCCTAAATGTAGGTATGTACAATCCCTATACTATTGGATTCTACATACCAAGTTTGTAGAATTCCTTAATGTGGGTATGTATAATCCCTTTTCTATGGGATTTAACATACCTACACTCAGGGATTCTTCAAATCTTGTACCTTGATTTCATACTGGATCAGTTAACGGGCTGAAGATATTTATATTGGCCATAGGCATCGATACCAATGTCCAAGGACAAACAATGAAGAAATATGAAATCACAAAAAAGTAATATCTATTTTAATAATTCATAAAACACAATGTTGTTTATACATTTTGTAACTAGAGATTGTCACAAGTTCAAATACCTCCCAACACTTGCTTAGCAGAAAACATTTTTAGTAAATGATTTTTCACACAGGGAGAATGCAGTAGTTTATTGATTTTTTTTCAAATGTTTTTGAATTATTTGTCCTACATCAATAAGATTTATTAAAGTTTGGATTTGAAGTTTTCATAATAAGGGCAATATGTACTTTCTCCCTGCAATTTCTGCACTTGTACTCCGTGAGATCTATCTACCTACATAATTTCATGTTGATACCTTTCATAGTTCTCAAGTTATGTCCAGGACAAAATTCAAAGTGAAAAAAATTATCAAAGGGCAGTAACTCCAAAAATAAGGTAGGGAGGGTTACAGTTCTTTCACACTGTTCTTCTACTCAGTGAGATCTATCTACCTACAAAGTTTGAAGTTGATACCTTTTATAGTTCTCGAGTTATGTCCAGGACAAAATTCAAAGTGTAAAAATGAACAAAGGGCAAGGCAAGGCAAGGCAGAGTTACAGTTCTTTTGCACTGCACTTCTACTCAATGAGATCTATCTACCTACAAAGTTTCTTGTTAGTTTCCCTTTCTCGCTTTAGATTTATGGCCCAGATAAAGTGTAAAAAAAACGCTAAGGTCAATAACTCCAAAATTAGGCAAGGCAGAGTTACTGTTGATATCTCTTGGAGTTATGTCCCGGACAAGAAAACTGCAATGGACCGATTTACCAACTGACCAACCCCAGTTGACTCCAGTATACCCCCTAAAACTTTGTTTGTCAGGGGTATAATTAATGTATATTATGTACATGTAATTAATGTATAATAATGACATTACATCTCAACTTCTGTAGGAGCAATCACCTCTTTTCAACAACAGTATCATATTTCTCACAAAAGTAAAACTTCAAAATAAATTTACCGTCACTAGAGCAACATCTATATTATGTAATCGAATTTTCTGCAGCAGCATTTAATATGAAAGTCTTTATAAAACATATAATACACAAAATGTGACTACATAAAATATGTGTTTTTAATATTTGTTCTCATGGCATGTTTTGTTGCAGTTTAACTTGATTTTGAATGATAAATATTATCCTTTTGTTT